ATGGGCGCTTGGAAGCCATTTCGAATGGTTAAAGTACAGTATTTATAGCAAAAACACTTAAGCACGCACTTACTCTGTGGAAGCCTAACAAAGACTGGGGGCGCTGATGATTCTACTCCTCACATTTTTCCCTTCCCCCAAATTCCCAAACTAGATCTGTTTCTAGAGCTGATATCATTTCATCTATCAATGCGGATCTGTGCAGCATCTCCGAATGGGTAGGTAGAAACTTGGTCAAATTCAATAGCAATAAAGCTCAGTATTTACCAATTACACTTTCCAAAATAGATGATCTCCCATCAATCACATTTCAGGATGCAATCATTCTGCCAAATTCTAAAATAGATATACTAGGCCTCACCATTTCCTCTAATATGTCATGGAAGCCACACATCCACAACAATGCTAAAGATGCCTCCTGAAAGCTGGGAATGCTGTACAGATGCCGTAGCTCAGTGGTATCAAACTCAAAACCTTTAGAGGGCCAATTCTTATTTTAGTTACCCTCTTCAGGGCCAACACAAGTGCTATATCACATATTTGCAGGATTGAAGTTTACTGCTTCACACATTGCCTTACCTAGTTTACCAGGAATACCTCATTTGGGTTTGTCTGGTCTTAAGTACTGTAGGTAAAATTCAATTTACTTAATAAACATGATTAATGCTAATAATAGGATAGCAAAAGGCATATACTACATGCATTATTTTTGGGCTACAATTTATTATAGAATTCCACTTGTGTTTTGAAACTTAAGAGCTCAATCTTGTTATGGCTGTTATATTATGTACATGCAGAACAAGAACTATCATGCAACTCACAACTTTGACCTCATTTTCCACTGCACTGCAAGCATTTTTTTTCCACAAGTTTTTCTATATTTGGCTGCAAAGGTGACATTCCAAGTCGGAGGATGGCATCCAAGTGCTTATCAGTAATACGGGTTCGGTACTTCATATCTATTTCTATCATAATTTCACGAGCTGATAAATTTTACCGTCATCCCGCGAGCCACACCTGACCATCTTGCGGGCCATGAGTTTGACACCCCTGCCATAGCTACTTCACTCCTGAGCAGTTGCTTCAAGTTTAAGGGATTCTTTCATCCTAACTTGGAGTACTGTTCTCATATCTGGGGTGGCTCTTCTTCTGCCCAACTGTTAGATAGGGTGGAATCAAAGGCATTTCGTCTTATTAACTCTCCTCCTTTAGTTGATAATCTTTCTTCCCTTTCTCTTTGCTGCACTGTTGCTTCACTCTCTCTCTTTTACAGGTACTTTAATGGGCAATGTTCGGTGGATTTAGCATCCTGTGTACCGCCGGCAAGGCCGTGGACTCATAACACACGTCTTGCCCGCTGTGCCCACAGTTTCTCTGTGGATGTCGGTCACACTAGAAAAACCCGTTATGGTACATCCTTCTTTCCTGACACAGCCAAACAATGGAATGCTCTACCTTCTGTGTTTCCATACTCATACAATCTGTCTCACTTTAAAAAGTATTGTCGTGGTGTAGATTAATATAATCGTTTTCTTTTCTGTTTTTAATTTCTTTTTACTCCTATTTTTTCACCCCTTAGGCCCCGTTGTGAGTCGATGACCTGTGCCCGGGTGGGCTATTCCCTGTAAAAAAAATATAAATATATAAATGAATAAATTAATTAATAAATTTCATTAGTTACATGTTGTCAGATGTTGGGGCACTTGGTGTGTACCTCTCCCATCCCGCCCTTTCCCCTCCTCCTTCAAGCCCCACAGTGGCGTACTGTACTTAGCCTGAACAAGGTGACCAAATCTAGTTTTAGTGAGAGTACGGGTAGTGCGCACTAGTGAGGGAGAAGAGCTGTCACGAGGTAAGTTACACTGCGATGGCTGAGATGCCACTTGTGCAACACTTATTTATTTTTCCTTCTAACCACAATGACATACCGGTCAGTTCCTTTAGCACAAGGACTGCTTTTTGAAGGGCCAGGGACACTGGGAGAGGCCTCGGGTGGCACCACACATCTCCACATGGTGTAATCTCCTTGTACTTTTTACATTTTCCCACCCCTCTATCCTCGCCAGCAACACAAGGCCTGGTTCAAAACTATTACAACATTGTTATCAATAAATGAAATCACTTCAATGAACAAAAAATCAGCACAAGCCACGAGAAAATGTGTGGGTAATGTGGATCAAAGTTACGTCCTGTGCTGTTGAACTACAAGGGGTGACTGGTGTGGTCACTCATATAACCTTGGAGGCAGTGTATATGTAGGTGCTAGATTACACCGACATTGCCAAATATGTGTCTTGCATATCTAGCATTCATATGCAAACAAAATTTTTTATTGTCATTTTTTAGTTCATTCGCAAATATGTGTATGAAAACCCTAAAGCGATAATTTAGATTATACGCAAATTTGCATATGAATACCTCAAGAATGTTACTTGTTTTCTATTGATTTATAAGTGTAGGAATTTTTGGGTCGGTGAGACTGTAATATCTCCATTAGCAGGAATCCGTCAGACCCGGAACTCTCTGATAGCCGGAATTGAATGGTATCCGAACACTCAGAAAATTCCAGAGAATTCCGGAGATGGGGGAGTTTTTTTCCAGATTTGAGAGATGATGTAATGTGCAATTTATGGAAATTTTGAAAATATTTTTCCATTACCCGGAAAATTCCGGGAATGAGAGATTTTTTTCGGCCTTGAGAGATGAAATAATGCATCATTCTGGGGCTAACAAGAAAATTTTTCAATTACCTAGAAAATTCCGGGGATGAAGGATTTTTCCGGTTTTGAGAGAGTCGTCTCGTTACCCGAAAATCTCTCATTCATGGAAGTGCTCTGCACCAATTGTTCCGGCTAACGAAGATATCACCGCTGTACATGTGTGTTTGGGGACTAGCTGGGAGCGTATCCCACTGAGCCCCATGTTATAATGCTCCCTATCTATGATATTTCACTTAGCACTGGGTTTACAGGAACCTAACCCCGTCGTTTATTGATGTTTGCCTGTATTGGGTTGGGACAAAAAAATTGGAGGAAAGTGCCTTGATAACTCGGAATGGTTCGAGCCCCATATATTCCGAGTTATCAAGGGCTTACTGCAGTGAGGACCTAACTCCCTCTTTCCTATAGGCCCGAGGTACTTCTTTACACAGATTCACTTTGTATGGTCTTTTCCAGAAACCTATCCACCTTGTAATTCCAATAGTTTACTGTATTAACAACTGTAATTTTTGTTTGAAGAGTTAATGGATGTTTGATTATCCAGTTTCAGGTATCCCTCACTCTGCAAATGGATTTGGTAATTGAATATTCATATATCAAATAACAACAAATGGGAAAAATAGGTTTTGGTTCTCCAATGACAAGAAAATCCCAATACAGGTACAGTGGTCCCTCGGTTAACGAGCGCAATCCGTTCCAGCAGGTTGCTCGTTAACCGAAAAACTCGTTAACCGAAACCATTGTTTCAATGGGTTTTTGGGTAATTGGTTCCAGCTCACCGAAAATTGCCTAAATTCAACAAAAAAGGTAGAAAAGTAAACTTACTTTGAGGTGTGTATGTAGAAGGCTCCTGGATGATGATAATGATAGGAATTAGAATGGGGGTGGAGGAGAAGGGAGAAGAGAAGGCATTGGGGTGGAAGAGAAGTCACCCCATGGTGCCATTTTAACCCATAAAATTTTAGTTCTCTTGGTGTAATTCAAGATTATTTTCTTTAAATCAACACTGCACTGCATTATATATTGTCAATATGTAAATTAAATTTCAAAATGACCAATAATTTGCTTGCAAACACAGAAAAAAGCATTTAGTTGAAGAGAGTCTCAAGCAAGATGTTACCTCCACTGAAAAGAGAGAGAGACTGGCGCCTGTTTGGTGTGTTGCCAGGCTGGATGGCGCGCATGAAGTTAATTTCTTTACCTTCAATTAAGTTCAATAATTGTTAAAATGACTAAAAAATTTAATATTAAACTTTTAAAATTATTGAATAGTATAAACTTCTTGATGTTTACTAAAATAGTAAGGAATTTAAGCCCTAAAACCGATTAATGTATTGGCGGACTAATACTACAGCCGGTTGACCGCCCAGTGCAAGCCAAAACTTGTTGAGGTCGGCTCGTAAGAAACTCGTTATCCGAGGGATTGCTCGTTAACCGAATTTAAGAATCTTATGGGAGGTAACTCATTAACCGAAATCTCGTTAAACGAGGCTCTCATTAACCGAGGGATCACTGTATTATATTTTTTTTAAGGTTCATAAACATCAAAAAACCTACCCAAGTACTGTAATTTAGTGCCTAACACATAAAAAAAAATTAAAATATAGATTTGATACATTGCCATAAGGGAACATATGTGTATAGGCAAGAGTAGCTTTCATATACGTAGTGAGAATGGTGTGTAAGAATAAAAAATTTGTATAAGCAAATATTGAGAGGGTGAACATTAGTGTAGCGAGGGATACCTGTAGTAGATCTCGGATTATCTGTGATTATAATCATTTTGTATGTTTACTAAACTTTAGTACTGAGTCAAGCCTCATTATAGGAATCAGAAGGGTAAACCATTTTTGTCTCATAGCCTTACAATTTATTAAGGCTAATTTGTCTTTAAAGTAAGTTTTTTTGTCAAGGAATTACAGTACAGTGGTAAATGTGTGAGTACACTAAATGTTAAGACCCAACACAGTGTTAACAATCCTGATCATGTGATAAGACGCTCTCAGTTTGGCGCATTCATTTTGTGATTTATTTTTTTTTTTTACATGCTTTTTAGAAGTAGCAGAGATTTTTCTCCAGGCACTGGAACAAATGGCTCTACACTACTTCTCCCCCATCAGATAACATTTTAATATTTTTTCTCCAAGCACTGGAACAAATGGCTCTACACTACTTCTCCCCCATCAGATAACATTTTAATATTTTTTCTTCAAGCACTGGAACAAATGGCTCTACACTACTTCTCCCCCATCAGATAACATTTTAATATTTGTTCTTCAGGCACTGGAACAAATGGCTCTACATCACTTCTGTCCCGACCAATGCAAAGGAAACTGGTGACTCTCATTAACTGTCAGCTGGTGGAAGATGAGGGGCGGGCCAGGGCAGTTCGTGCCGCTCGATCCTTGGGTGAACGGACAGTCACTGAACTCATATTACAGCATCAGAACCACCAACAACTCTCAGCTAACCTATGGGCAGCAGTGAGAGCCAGAGGATGCCAGTTTCTTGGACCAGGTAAGACTAGTACTGTAATGGACATTCATATATTGTAAAGTAAAGGCTAACAGGTTCTGGAGATTTTGAATGGAATGATATTTAGTATATTTTAAAGACTTCATGTACTGTACAATATAATGCCTGAGTCCTCGTCGAGGCTTTACTGCTGTTTTCCTTGCTTGGATGGGTTAGCCCCAATTATATGATGGCCGATCTCCATGCAATTTTAATTAAGTTAGAAACTCCTTTTCTTTACTACAGTATAATAATCCTGATAAGTTTATCTAAAAGTTTGGTTAAATAAATACTGTATATTTAAAAAACTAAAACTACTGTATATGATACAGGCGTGAATGAATCTGTGTTACAGCAAAGACTGATATTTTCCACTTCCATGGAGCTGTGGGGGATTAGTGGGATGCAATGTCAGGTGAAGGTAGGGTGGGGGATTAGTGGTCTCATTTTACTGACCTGCTGATGGAACGTCAGGTCACCCATTGTTGGGTGGGGGATTAGTGGGTCTCATGACCTGAAGATGTCTTGAATAAAGACAAAAACTAAATTATTTTTGAGGGAAATTGTGGTAAGTATAAGTATAAATGAGCAAAATTGTATCTCTTCAACATTATGTTACATAACATTTTAAAATATGACGTGAGAAAGCAGACATGTGTGGGTGATAAGAGAAAGGAGTGTTGCCAAGTGCTTAACAGCTGACATTAATTCACCACCACGCATCACCCACTTGTGATGTTAACCACACACAAATTTATGTCATACACTAAGACCCTCACTCTGGATGCGTTTTAATTCCTGTGTGTGTCTGTGTGTGTGTGTGTGTTTTGTTAGTGGTGTGTGGGTGGTGTTCGGGTGTGTAGGTGGTGTTGGGGTGTGTGGGTGGTGTTGGGGTGTGTGGGTGGTGTTGGGGTGTGTGGGTGGTGTTGGGGTGTGTGGGTGATGTTGGGTGTGTGTGGTGTTGGGTGTGTTGGTGGTGTGTGGGGTGTGTGGGTGGTGTTGGTGGTGTGTGGGTTGGAGTGGTGTGGGGGTGGTGGGTGTGTGTGGGTGGTGTGTGGTGTGTGGATGTGTGTGTGTGTGTGTTAGTGGTGTGTGGGTGGTGTTGGGGTGTGTGGGTGGTGTTGGGTGGTGTGGTGTTGGGGTGGTGTTGGGTGTGGGTGGTGTTGGGGTGTGGGTGGTGTTGGGGTGTGTGGGTGATGTTGGGGGTGTGTGTGTGTGTGTTAGTGGTGTGTGGGTGGTGTTGGGGTGTGTGGGTGGTGTTGGTGGTGTGTGGGTGTGGTGTTGGGGATTGTGTGGGTGTTGGGATTGTGTGGTTGGTGTTGGGGTTGTGTGGGTGATGTTGGGGGTGTGTGTGTGTGTTGGTGGTTATTGTGGGTGGTGTTGGGGATTGTGGTTGGTGGTGTCTTGGGTGGGGTTGAAGTTATTATTGGTGGTGTGGTGTGGGTGGTGTTGGTGTGTGGGTGGTGTTGGGTGTGGTGTGGTGTTGGGGTGTGTGGGTGGTGTTGGGGTGTGTGGGTGTGTGGGTGGTGTTAGTGGTGTGTGGGTGGTGTTGGGGTGTGTGGTGTGTGGGTGGTGTTGGGATTGTGTGGGTGGTGTTGGGTGTTGTGTGGTGTGGTGTTGGGGTGTGTGGGTAGTGTTAGATTGGTGTTGGGGTGTGTGGGTGGTGTTGGAGATTATTATTATTGTGTGATGTTGGGGTGTGTGGGTGGTGTTGAGTGGTGTGTGGGTGGTTTTGGGGTGTGTGGGTGGTGTTGGGGTGTGTGGGTGGTGTTGGGTTGTGTGGGTGTTGGGGGTGTGGGTGAATTAGGGTGTGTGGGTGGGTGGGGGTGTGTGGGTGGTGGGGTGTGGGTGGTGGTGGGGTGTGCTTGGGTGATGTTGGGGTGTGGGTGGTGGGTGTGTGGGTGGTGTTGGGGTGTGGGTGTGTGGGTGGGTGTTGGGGTGTGTGTGTGTGTGGGTGGTGGGGTGTGTGTGGTGTTGGGGTGTGTGGGTGAGATTGTTGGAGGTGTGTGTGGGTGGTGTTGGGTGTGTGGGTGATGTTGCAGGGGTGTGTGGGTGGTGTTGGGGTGTGGGTGGTGTTAGGGTGTGTGGGTGGTGTTGGGGTGTGTGGGTGTTAGGAGTGCAGGTGGGTGTTGGGAGTGTAGGTGGGTATTTAGGGAATTAATGGCATTGATGGTAGGGTGTGTGATGTTGGGGTGTGTGGGTGGTGTTGGGGTGTTTGGGTGGTGTTGGGGGTGTGTGTGGTGATGAGGGTGTGTGGGTGGTGGCTGGGGTGGCCAGGTGGTGTTGGGGTGTGTGGATTGTGGGTTATTGTGGGTGGTGGTGGGGTGTGTCTGGTGGTGGGGTGTGGGTGGGTGGGCAGGGGTGTGGCTGGGTGATGTTGGGGTGTGGGTGATGTTGGGGTGTGTGGATGTTGGGGGTGTGTGTGGTGTTGAGGGTGTTGGGTGTGTGGGTGGTGTTGGGGGTGTGTGTGGTGTTGGGTGTGTAGGCGGTTTTGGGGTGTGTGTGGTGTTGAGGGTGTGTGTGTGTGTGGGTGGTGTTGGGTGTGTCGGTGGTGTTGGGTGTGGGTGGTGTTGGGGGGGTGTGTGTGGTGTTGAGTGTGTGTGGGGTGGGGTGTTGGGGTGTGTGGGTGGGTGTTGGGGTTGTGTGGGTGGTGTTGGGTGTGTGGGTGGTGTTTGGGTGTGTGGGTGGTGTTGGGGGGTGTGTGGGTGGTGTTGGGGTGTCTGGGTGGGGTGTTGGTGTGTGTGTGTTGTTTGGGGTGTGCGTGTGTGTGTGTGGGTGGGTGGTGTTGGGGGGTGTGGGTGGTGTTGTGCGTGTGTGGGTGTTCAGGGGTGTGTGTGGTATTGGGTTGTGTGTGGTATTGGGTGTGTGTGTGTGTGTGTGTGTGTGTGTGTGTGTGTGTGTGTGTGTGTGTGTGTGTGGGTGGGTGGTGTTGGGGTGTGTGGTGGTGTTGGGGATGTGTGTGGGTGAGGTGTTGGGGTGTGTGTGGGTGGTGTTGGGGGTGTGTGTGGTGTTGGGGTGTGTGTGTGTGGTGTTGGGGGTGTGTGGGTGGTGTTGGGGGTGTGTGGGTGGTGTTGTGTGTGGGTGGTGTTGGGGTTGTGTGGGTGGTGTTGGGGGTGTATGTGGTGTTGGGGTGTGTGTGTGGTGTTGGGGTGTGTGGATGGTGTTGGGGTGTGTGGGTGGTGTTGGGGTGTGGGGGGTGGTGTTGGGGTGTGTGTGTCTGGGTTGTGTTGGGGTGTGTGGGGTGTTGTTCGGGGTGTGTGGGTGGTGTTGGGATGTGTGTGTCTGGGTGGTGTTGGGGTGTGTGGGTGTTGTTTGGGGTGTGTGGGTGTTGGGGTGTGTGTGTGTGTGTATGTGTGTGTGTGTGTGGTGGTGTTAGGGTGTGTGTTGGTGGTGTTGGGTGTGTGTGTGGGTGTTGGGGGTGTGGGGGTGGTGGTGTTGGGGTGTGTGTGTGTCTGGGTGGTGTTGGGGTGTGTGGGTGTTGTTCGAGGTGTGTGTGTCCGGGTGGTGTTGGGGTGTGTGTCTGGGTGGTGTTGGGGTGTGTGGGTGTTGTTTGGGTGTGTGTGGTGTTGGGTGTGTGTGTGTGTGTGTGTGTGTATGTGTGTGTGTGTGTGATTGGTGTTAGGGTGTGTGATTGGTGTTACGGGTGTGTGGGTGGTGTTGGGTGTGTGTGGGTGGTGTTGGGGTGAGTGGATGGTGTTGGGGTCTGGGTGGTGTTGGGGTCTGTGGGTGGTGTTGGGGTGTGTGGGTGGTGTTGGGGTGTGTGGGTGGTGTTGGGGTGTGTGGGTGGTGTTGGGGTGTGTGGGTGGTGTTGGGGTGTGTGGGTGGTGTTGGGGGTGTGTGGGTAGTTGTTGGGGATGTGTGGGTGGTGTTGGGGTGTGCGGGTGGTGTTGGGGTGTGTGTGGGTGGTGTTGGGGTGTGTGGGTGGTGTTGGGGTGTGTGGATGGTGTTGGGGTCTGTGGGTGGTGTTGGGGTGTGTGGGTGGTGTTGGGGGTGTGTGGGTGGTGTTGGGGTGTGTGGGTGGTGTCAAGATGTTGCGTGGGTGGTGTGTCTGTGTGTGTGTGATTGGTGTTAGGGATGTGTGTGTGTGTGATTGGTGTTAGGGATGTGTGTGTGTGTGTGATTGGTGTTAGGGATGTGTGTGTGTGATTGGTGTTAGGGATGTGTGGGTGGTGTTGAGGTGCGTTGGTGTGTGTCTGTGTGTGTGTGTGTGATTGGTGTTGGGATGTGTGTGTGGGTTGGTGTTGGGATGTGTGTGTGTGATTGGGTAGGGATGTGTGTGTGTGTGTGATTGGTGTTAGGGATGTGTAGGTGGGTGTTGGGGTGCGTGGGTGGTGTGTCTGTGTGTGTGTGTTGATTGGCGTTAGGGATGTGTGGGTGGTGTTAGGGTGCGTGGGTGGTGTGTGGTTGTGTGTGATTGGTGTTAGGGATGTGTGGGTGGAGTGAGAGGTGCGTGGGTCGGGTGTGTGTGTGTGTGTGTGATTGGTGTTAGGGATGTGGGTGGTGTTGGGGTGTGTGTGTGTGTGTGTGTGTGTGTGTGATGTTGGGGTGTGGGTGGTGTGTGTGTGTGTGTGTGTGTGTGTGTGTGTGTGTGTGTGTGTGTGTGTGTGTGTGTGTGTGTGTGAGATTTTGGGGTCTGTGTGTGATTTTGGGGTGTGTGTGTGTGTGAGTGGTGTGTGTGTGTGTGTATGTGTGTGTGTGTGTGTGTGTGTGTGTGTGTGTGTGTGTGTGTGTGTGTGTGTGTAGTAATAATAATAATATCAAACGGTTTATTAATAGAGTTGCAGCCGGTGTCTGAAAATATACAGACTTACATTTGATTTAGACATAATGATATAATATGCATTGAATGCTTTTACAGGGCTGTACGGTACTAAATCAGGGAGTTGTTTATTATTTTAACAATAGATGGGATAGTGCTGTTCTTATATCTCTCGATGCGTGCTCTTATGGCCTGGGAATTTGTAGTGGCGGACTGCGTGGGTTGGGTGGGGGCTGCAGGTGGC